CATGGAAAGGTGCTGCTCCAAAACACACTGGTCCCACTGCCGGGCAGCGGGAAGTATGGCAGCGGAGGTTGCTCCATTGTGACAGCTGATATTGTTTAAAATACAAAATTAAACTAATCCAGCTTTGCACAGCGCTCCAGTAAAAGCAGGGTTTAAGGGACACTCAGGCTCGCAGGCAGGATGGGCGCACCAGTACCCTAAACTGGGAGGGAAGGCTGAGCCCAGCGCGCTGCTGGGAGAGGGAATTTTTTTTTTTTTTTTTTTTTTTTTTTTTAGTGATATGGAGTGTTGTGCGGCTTCCTGGCAGCCTGCCACTCCTGAAGGAAACTCCTCTCTCCGGTTACCTACCGGGGAACCCTGTCCCTGCAGAGTGGAGCTGGATGGAGCCCAGACAGAGCGCAGTCCTGCACAGAGATGGGACAGAGCTGCACAGGCCGCTGGCCGAGCCCCAGTGATGCCCATGGGGCTCCCAGGGACCACACAAAGCTGTTCCCAACCCCTGTCCCTGCATTGCGCCAAATCTGCCCAAAAAATGCCTGCTCTCCTATGCAATATGTTTCTAATACACTGGCTGCAAAGGGCACATGGCAGGGGCTCTCATGGACCTCCACCATCACCATGTGCACAGAGGCCCCCGTGGACCTCCACCACCATCAAGCATGCTGGTCCCATACCCACCCCATGCAGCCATGGGCGCTTGGAGCTAGAGTCTCGCAGCCTTTGCTGGTCCTGGAGCAAGAAGATGGCTCAGCACGGGACAGGCGACAGTCACACCAAACCCTTCATGCATGCAGAGCATCTCCTCCTGGGAGGGGTCCCACGTGGCCATCTTGCCTGCCAAGGTGCCATGCCATGAGGTGGCCACACAGACCCCGGGGAGCAGAAGATGCTGTGACAACGAGGAGATGTCCCCCTGCAGCCTGGGGACACTGAGGCAGCGATGCCAGGACGGGGCGCCTGTCCCACAGCCAGCTGGGGCACAACAGGCAGATGCAGCAGAAAAGGACCGTTCCCACACCTCGCCTCCAAAGCATGGCTAGGAGGGCACTTACAGCGGGGGATCAGCTGTATTTGGGGTTCACACGCCAGTGGCTGGGTGACACCCCCAGCCTGTACTGCCAACAGGCCAAAACCCTTCCAGCCCCTTGGGTTTCCTCATTCCTCACTGAGCAAAGTCTTGCATGCTAACGCCAGCAAGCCTGGATGCTATGTCCATCCATCTCCAGGGGTTTCAGAAACCCCCTCACCGAGATCTCAATCCAAGGGGAACTGTTTCAGATGGTGGGGAAAAAGGAGGAGCCCTGGTTGTCCCCAACCAGGATGGGAGGGCACGAGCCCCAAGCACACCATCCTTTCCCAGACCATCAGCCACCTTTCCAGCAGCAACTGCCCCCACTGCAGCAGAGCATCCTTCCAGACCGAAGTTAGAAAGAACTGCAGCAGCTTTCCAAAGTTTAAAAAAAAAAAAAAAAAAAAATCAATGCTTTGCGTTAATGGCAAGTTGAAGCCACCGCTCTGTAGAGCAAAGAAAACATCATTTCAAATGCTCCCAATTGTGGGTCCTTCTTAGGGGAGGAGCTGGGGGGAGCAGAAGAGGGGAAGGATGAAGTAAAAATCTCCGGTAGCCAAAGACTACCCTGATTTTTCTCTCCTGCACGTTGACGCTCCGAGCTGGCCGTGCAGGCAGAGCAATACCACAAAAAGTATGTAGCAACAGTCAACTAGATTTAAGTTCATTTTCTGTAGCTCGAGGCCAAAATCGACTGAAGTGGTTCTGGTGATCAAGTTTTCTGCATTTCCCCTTTCTATGTATTAGCTCTTTGACAGAAATTCACTGCGGTATTTAAACTGGCAGTCATCACCGCTAACTCAAATTGTATTGGCTTTCACGGCGTTGAAATGCTCAACTGCGACCAGCCATCGGCCAATTCCCAGATAACGCGGTGGCTGAAATCCCCTGTCATGCCGAGCGATCCCATTGCAAGCTTGCTGGCTCCGGGAGCGCACCGTAACGCCGGCGCACTCGCCACAGGGCTTTGCCCGGTGGAGGAGCCCAACCCAGCGGCTACGGGTTGAGTTTTAGCAGTTGATGGGTGCTCGTGATGCTGTTAACTTGCATAAACTCTTTTGATACAGGTGGAAGAAGCTGACTAATAACCCTCTGACCAGCACAATTCGTTAGTTGCGTTAACAGACTCACAGCCGTGCTGGAGACAGAAGGAAAGAGAAATGCGGTGTTCCTCCCGCCTGCACCAGGTGACTCCCCACGCCCATCACCTCTCTCCCAACAAGCACATTTCTACTGAGCCCCAGCAGCCTTTTGTCCCTCGAGGGAAAGGTAGAAAACAATATTCCCCAGCCGTGGCAAGAGGCCACGGGTTTCAAGGGTGCCCCCCAAAAAAGAGGGGTAGGATTTCTCCTTTTTTTTTTTCCTCTCACTAAAGGGTTCAATACTAAAAACTGGAGGGGGAAATTGGTGATTCGTGCTGCTGCTCCTAATAGTTTTCATACAGTTACACTGGGAAATGAAGTGCAAATGACACAGCATGCAAACCCCACTGTTAGCATGCCGCTAACGAGGCACATCGCTCCCCCTCCCAAAGACGCATCTCCCGGGTGAGCACCCCTCCGGCGCCGGCTACGGGAGGGCGGCGTGCCAAACCCCGGCTGGCCCGGCACCACTGTGCTGCTCCCAGAGCATCCCCCTGTTTTGTCCTTAGAGCAGCACAGTAAATACATCGTCTTTGGGTAAATAAACACTGTATTTTGGGCAAACACCGAGCTGGCTGTGCAGAGGTTGCCCATCATTGGCCAAGTGTAAATATGATGCTCTACCAGTCTGGGCCAAGGCTTATATTGGGAGTATTTTTTAACCACAACCACCATATGAAGTGATTCATGACTCACGACTCACTGGTCCAGCCCCATTCAAGGCTCATACCCTGTTTTCGCTGCTATGTACCGGCCGACGGGTTGTGGGGTTTGGTGCTTGATAAAAGCCTGCATTTTGGCTCCAGCACCCATCGGTGAGGTCGGCCGCTGCGCTCACTGGCACTGGCAGCCCACCCCGGCACGGAGGCTGGCGAGAAACAAGGCGCTATTCACACTCCACCAGTTATCATTCGGTTCTTTGGTCAATATTTAAGTTTTGGCCAGGTAGGTCCCTCGCCCTGTAAAGTACACGCCATGCTGGGAAAACACCGCTCCTCGGAGAGTGACTGTACCGTGAGCATCCACCACTGGCCACGCTGGGGAGGAGAAGCACAACCCCTGTTTTGAGGCCAAAACACACCCGAGGAAACCAAACCAGTGCCACCAAGCCAAGGCACAGGGGAGCGAAAATCTTCTTACGAGTCTTTGCAGTAAAACCCAAAAGGTAAAGCACTTGGGGCTGTTACAAAACTGCATTACACCGAGAATTAAAAACAATCAGGATTGTGTCTATTTACTGTAAGCTTAAAGCAATGTGTATTAAAGAAGTTTATGCGAATCATCTAATGCACTCAGGCCTATTGTTAGAATTATTACCAAGCTAAAAAAAGATTAATTTCTCTAAATACACTAAATCCTCAGACACGATGAGGAGACTGCTGTGAATGGAGCATTACCATGTCTTGGTTGCTAATGCCATCTTCACGTGAGGCTTTGCCGCCTGAAGATCTACCTTTGCCTTGCTCCTGATGAGTCTGCTGTCCCAACCGGACTCCAAAAAAACCAGAATTTGGCCCAAAACGCCCAGGAAGCGAGCAGCTGCTCACACCGAGCCGAGCACTGGTGGATGTGCCGCCGGCTGTCAGCTCTGACCCTCAGTTCAGGAGTTCACCATCTTAATCTGACCCAGTAAAAACAAGCGATGCAGAGAGTGGCCACGGGGAGGGACGGACAGACAGACAAACCCCACCTAGCAAATACCCAGACCCACTTCCCCCATGCCGCAGCGGGACAGGCATCTTTCCACCCCGGGCAGAGAGGAGAGGCAGCTCAGCAGCCAGCTGAGGCTCTCCAGCAGCCCAGTGCTGCCCGCGCCCCAGGGCGACCGCTGCGTCCAGCGCCGGCATGCAGGAGCGCCGTGGAGGTCCCCGAGACGCTCACCCAGGGCTGCTCGCCTGCAAACCCTCGTGCATCCCAACCCAGGCATGTCGAGACAACGAGAAACTCGGGAAGGCAGGAAAAATGGTTTCCATACCATAGGCTCCCTGGAGCAGACAAAACCAGCTCCTGCTACAGGATTTAAACTCACTTGACTGGGGTCCAAGCCCACAGCCAGGTGACTAATCCTTTGATGCAAATTCTTCCTGATGCTGCGGATGCGGGCGACACGCATGGGACAGCAGCAGGCAGCCTACCCATCGCCCACCGGAGCCGACACACCGTGCACCCTCGCCAAGAGGTGTCATTTTGGGAGGCACCTCAGCTCCAGCATCCCACCCCAGGAGCATCATCCCTGGGTCACGCTAACACCTCTGCGGAGAACAACCCACAATACCGATAGACAAGATGCACACCGTCAACCAAGGGGGGTCTGCAACACCAGCTTCAATGAGCAAACACCTTCGCCTGGCTGGCCTCAAGGGAGGACTCGGGCAACCAAGGAAGCCCGCAGCCTTGCCAAAGGCAGGGAGATATTGATTGGGGCATTCAACGGCATTTTGGGGAATCCCCCCCTCCTCCCCACCGCAATCCAACCCCTGCCCACCCTTCGAGATGTCTTCAGCATGAAATACCTCACCATCGATCCTCTAGTAAACACTTTTTTGTCCATTGCTATGCAAAACCGCTTAATTCTACCAGTAGCCTGAATGCCTTTAAGTGCTTAAGATAAGTATCTGAGCTAATTTACATAATTGCAACATTATGAAATACTGTTCAGTCAAATCAGAACATTGTTGGTTAAAAAAAACATGCTTTTGCCAGTCGGTTACGTTGGCTCTTGGTGTGCCGGAGAAGCCCGAGCTCCCCAACGCTGTAATTACCGCGAGGATTAGAAACTTGTTACTCACGTAGTCATGAAAGGCTTTCGCTTCACTCGAATGTTCACAAGTGTCTCGCCTTTCGGGAGCTGCGCAGTAAAGGTCCCAAAACACGCTGCGTGGCGGAGAAAGTCAAGAGAGGAGGCAGTTACTCATCAGGGCTCACGCACCGAGACGGGGGGTCATTGGAGGTGAGCAGCTTCCCACCCCGTTGGGCCCATGGTCAGGGAGGGGATCTCAGCTGGATCCAGCCGTGCGTCCCAGCTCAACGCCACTCGGACCTCTGGAAGTGCCTGACCTGGTGTCGCTGCCCCCACGATGGGTGATGTTGGGCGTTTTAAGAGGCAAAAGTAGCCTTTAGGGGGTAACAACCACGACACTTCAGGGACTCCTCCAGCCCTCACAGCAGCGCTGCCACCTCGCCCTGCCTTCCCCGGGGCGCCCCAACGGCCCCACCGCAACTTGGTCCCTCCGGCCGTCCCCAGCAGCTTTCCGGCCCCCGCCGAGGACTGGACTGAGAGGCCTGCCCGCCGGCCTGACGCCTCTGAGCCCACCGCCGCCGCCCGCCCCCTCCCCACCC